CTCTGTCCGCTGTCCTGTACTCAGTGGCTGCTCACACTTGGTCTTGCCTGCTGCTTCCGTTGGTGAAGACAGCCGTTTGCTTAGCTCCCTTCTGCTTCTGCTTGGAGCTCGGGTCCGGCAGGCTCTGAGTGTTGGTCTCCTCTTTCTAAACGTCCCGTGTTTTCACTCAGCGGCCGTCCCTGGCCAATTGTCCTTTCTTCTATCAGATGGTCCCTTTCACATCGCCTTTGTGACCTCGTTTTCCCCTGGGGTAGCTCATCTGCCTGATTCTGTTCTCCCGGCAGCCGCTGTCCCTTCAGAGCTGAGAGTTTTAGTCACTTGTTCTAGTGTCACCGTGGGTCTGTCTTCTGTTTCTCTGTTAAAAATTATTGCTCTCCATTTAAGCAAATCCACCAGAAAAAGGAAACTATGACCCTGTAGGCCTAGTGTGTTTGTAATGCATATTTACCAGAAAGTTCAGTTTAGGGGGAATCAAACTCGGGGTCTTGAACATTCTAGTAAAAATTTTAAATGCTTTCTGTTTTGAATTTGACAAATCCTTGTTGACTTACTACTGATTACAACGCATTCCAAGTGTTGGTATGTGGGACAGGGCAAATGAAAGCCCCGCCCATGGGGTGGGACAAGGCGAACCAAAACCCCGCCCATGGGGCAGAGCAAGGCAAACAAAAGCCCCGCCCATGGGGCTTAGTATGAAGAGTAGGGCAGACAATAATAATTTACGAATAAGAATATTAGGTACAAAAGTTTACATTACTCTGGAGCTAAATTTTTATGTCTAATCTGTCCTACGTAGTGAAACAGGGCCAGCAAGGGCACACAGGGAGACAGTCTCAAAGAAAAAAATCAAAAGGTTTTGCAAAGTCATTGCATGCTTAAATTGGGTGTTTAATTAGAAGATAAGGGTGAAGCTGTTTTCAACCTCAGAGGAAAAAGAGTACACAAACCACTGTGTAAAGCCCACTGGATCTTGCACAACCCAAACAACCGTGTAACTTAAGCCCAGATCAAGAAAAGAAAAAAAGCCAGCTCTCCCAGAATTCTCTCTCTTGCCACCTGCCAAAGCACCAGTGCTCACTAAGATTAAACCAGATTACCAGTGACATAAATTGTTTTCCTGGCTTTTATATTTACAGGAATGGAGTATCATTATCGATAGCCCTACCATCCATAGAATTCCAGGAACAGCATTTTTTTAATTTAAGAAATAAATCGAATAAACAGCATGCATAACCATCACACAGGAAAGGATCCAGTCTTACTGAAAAGAGAAACAAAAGCCTGTCAGAGGAGAAGCTCAGAAACACGGGTCCTAACACAGAAGCCTGCTGTGTGACAGTCAGCTGTGCAATGTGCTGGGGGAACCATGGCTGCTGATGGTGTTAGCTGTGCTAGAGGAACTCTATGGGATCCCTCTCTACCCCATACCACACACAGTTAAATGTGTGAAAGTCTAGAGGCTGGGTGTCCAGTAGCACGGGGTATGCTTAGCATGCAAAGAGCCCTGAGGTCAATCTCCGTGTGAGGCAAAGGGACTTAGAGAATGAAGCATCCCCAGGCTTCACCCAAGCATACACAGGGCATCTAACCGGACTCTTTCTTGGCAGTGTTCCCTCACTCAGCAATGCTCTCTTCATTCACACAGCTTTGGTGTCGTACTGAGTTCTCTAAGCAATCTCGAGGTGGCTGAAAGTGTCCAGGAGGGAGCGCAGAGTAGACACGCAAACGCTGTGACATTTCATGTGGGTTTGGAAACACAGGAGTGGGGCCCAGCAACTAGCAAGTGCGGCATGACCGTCAGCTTCTGTTATTATATGCCCACATCCACATCCCTTCACAGCTAATGCTAAGCTTTATCTGTTGAAGAGCTAATACGAGTGAAGGCCTTTCTCTCTCCTCTCTCCCTCCCCCGTGCCCTCCCCCTTCTAGAATCTCCATAACATTTTATACTGGATCTTCCCTGAAGTGCCTCCATCCGAAGCAGTGGACAAGCTGGAGATCATTCCTACAAACAAAAAGAAGAAAGTGTGGAACTACGGTTACGGAGATGAAAGCGACAGCGATGAGGAGGAGGTGCCCAAAGCCAGCGCCACGGGTTACACCACGCACGGACTGATGGGCAGGCTTCCGCACCGGGCCTCAGACTCCTCAGCCAAGCCTCAGGAGGCCCAGCCTGAAGAGGACTCTGCTGCCGAGGAATCCGACGAAGCTGGAGCTAGCGCTGGTGCTATGGCGGAACTCCCCACAGAGGCTGAGGTGGGGTCAGGTCTCAGGCCCTCAGAAGACCCGAGCGGCCCCTATGAGAGGAAAGAGAGGGGGATCCAGGCCTCTTTCCCCGGGGATGACAGGAGCTCCGTGAATGGGCCGGGGGACAAAGTTATCTTCAATGTGAACTTAAACTCTGTGTTTTTGAGAGCTCTCCACGACGACCCTGAGGAAGCCTCCGAGGTCCTATCTCTTGCAGAAGATACAGGGCACCTAGACGAGGCTCCCCACAGGACAGAGTCAGGCCTTCTGATGGCCGGCAGCGACAGCACACAGCTGCCCCAACCCGGCATCTCTTCCCAGGTTCTGTGGACCGAAGATGAGTCTTCTGGAACAACTGAGAGCTCAGATTCTGATGCTGACCTAGGGGATGGTTATATCATGAGATAATTTCAGAAGCGGCTGGTTGGCTTGATCTGAACACCTGCCGGCTTCTCATGAAGGCCTGCCTTGATCCCTGTGTCCGCGAGGGAGGGACAAGGAAACTGGAGACCCTTGTGGTTCTTGTTCTCTGTGCATATTCCCAATTTGGGGGTCCATATTGTTTACATGGGTCATGAGCATGACCCGCCCACGCCCTGTTCAGCGATGCTATTGGAGGGACTGTGTTACGTTTCCCAGGAAACAGTGTTGAGTGCAGCTTTCAGAGGCAGCCAAGGCCTCCCATTCCTGTGTCATTTCTAGGAAATGATTAAACTGGGGAAGAGGAAAGGAAAGAAAAACGGGTCAAGAAGTGTTTAGCCGGGCTCAGGAATGAGCCTGAAAGCAGGCAAAAGGGAAGGAGGGAGGGCACGCCATCAGTGAGGAGAAAGGGGGGATATACGCAAAGGAAGCCAGCAAGGTCTGGACCCTTCTCAGATGCCACGGCCTGTTTCGTCCACTCTGAGACGGTCATTCACGTCCACCCATAAAGCCCTCCACGGTAAAGTGGGGTGGGGAAAGCCACGTGACTAATTCCAGGATCCTACAGATGACTCCAGAGAAAGCCATCTGGCGAAGTGGAGGGTGAGGGGCAAATCTCAGTGCCCACCGTATTTTAAGGTTTTTGTTTTTAAGAACAAAAGCGAGCATTTCAAGGCCTTCAGAACAAACAGGGGATACGAGTGTTAGGGGCGCACTTTGCAGTTTGTAAAGTACTTTGTATAGATTTGGATGACAGTCGCTGGGAGCCACAGTCGCAGTGATCAAAGTTCTAAATGCCACGGAGGGGGAGCCAGTGGATGGCTTTGGGGTTCCTGTATGGTTTTTATTTTATTTTGTTTTATTTGGACAAGGTCTCTCATATGGGATGATCTTTTGATTCTCCTGCCTGCACCTCGCCAGCACTGTGGTTACGGGAATGCACTGTCGTAAGGTTCAACCCAGGGCGGCCTGCAGGCCAGGCGAGCACCCTGCCAGCCCCCCTGGTATTTTTGCTTCACTTCTTTGAGCTTCCGTTTCTTTCTTTCTTTCTTTCTTTCTTTCTTTCTTTCTTTCTTTCTTTCTTTTTTTTAATTTTCGAGACAGAGTTTCTCCGTAACTTTTATGGTTCCTGTCCTGGAACTAGCTCTTGTAGACCAGGCTGGCCTCGAACTCACAGAGATCCGCCTGCCTATGCCTCCTGGGTGCTAGGATTAAAGGCGTGCGCCACCACCGCCTGGCCCGTTTCTTTATTTATGAAGTCAAGGGACTGGGTCAAGTCATCTCCACCGTCCCAGAAGCCTGGGACCAATGCTGGAAAGAAGGGGATAAAGACCCTTGGAGGTGATGAGCCTCAGAGGCATCCAGGATGGGGCCCTCCCATCTTGCTCCTCACCCCAAAAGCCAGTTTTTCACATCTTCCTTCTATTCAGAAAAAGAAAACTACATGGGTCCAATCTCAAAGGCTTCTGATGTAACTCATGTGACTTCTTCTAAAGCAACTCAAAAGAAGACCTAATAAAATCTCACAGGAGAGAGAGACCCTATACACAAGCCATCTCTCTGCACTCTGAGTACATCTGTCTTCTTACCCAGCCTTCTTCACTGCCCAGCTTTTCTTTGAAGCTTTGCATAATTGCTGGAAAACAGTTTTTAATGCTTGCACTTATTTTTTTAATTTTGTATGTTTGAAGATTGTCAGAGGCAATAAAAAAATACTTTTTCATAGCAGCCTGTGGTCTTTTGAGTCATTTCTCTATAGAATGTGTCTCAGCCTGGAATGTATTTCTTTAGCATATTTGTGGTTCTGCTGGCCTATCAGGATTATACCGTCTTTCTCTAAGTCTGCGGTGGCCTGCTGGGATGCCCCCCCCCACGTGACGTGTTCCTCAACACGTAGACAGCCAGCCTTCTGTGCATTTTCCCACCTCACCGACCTGGTCTGTTTAAGAAGAGGAAATTAAAGCTTTCTCAGCAATCTTGTGTAAGAAACATGTTACCAAAAAGTGAACAACTTGGCCTTGCGCCATCTCCTTGGGGTGGGGAGGGGCGCTAAAGCATTCCGAAACTGTGCTGAGGGGTGCTCTGATTCACCTTTTGTTTGGGGGACAGGACTTTGGAGAAGTGATGCTTCGGTAGGGAAAATCACTAAGCGATACTAAGAAAAGAAAGTGCCCGGCACTAGGGAAGCTGAGACAGGTGGATCGCTTCGGATTCCGTCTACCTGAGGAAAGGAAAGAAACTCAAGTGGGGAGGGAACAGGAGGATGAGGGCGGGTGCGGGGACGACCCTGTAACCCCGGACTGGCTTCTTAGTGCCTTTAGCTTCAGGCCACCTGCGCAGCTCTGGCCGCGGCAGGCTGCGGGCGGAGGGAGCCGAGGGGTGTGGCCTGGCGGCGCGGCGGAGGTTCCCGGAAGGGCCCCGGCGGCTGCCGGCTGCCGGCTGCCGGCTGCGGGGCTGCGACGCGGGGCCATGGCCTGGGCACGGAGTGTGGTGGGCTGGCTGGGCGGCTTCCTGCTGCTGCCAGGTGAGCTCGGTGGGCAGGGGTCCCGGGCGGGCAGCTTTCCTGGCTTGGGAACTCAGTGGCGGGGCGTCCTCAAGTCTCGGTCCCGTGGGCGCCCCGAAAGGGACCCTGTGCGGCAGGGAGCACTGGCAGGTAACCCCCTCGCCGCGGCGGGAGGCGCACACGCGCACACGCGGGGTTGCGCTGTCTGGATCCTGGGTGGACCACCATCACCCCCAGCCCGCAGCCGGGTTACAGGCTGTCCAGCCGGGAAACTGAAGCGGGATGCGGGCACAGCTGCTGTCAGACCTCCCCCCGACTCCCGAGATTACTAACAGAAAGACCCAGACACTCCGCGGTGTCTGTCCCGATCCTCGGGGACTAACCCTGAGTCCTCCCCAGCCGCCCGCACCCTCCCTCTGCCCCCTCCTCTGCCGGGCCAGCTCCCCGTCTCCACGCCTTCCTCGTCACACCTCCACATCTTGAAATCTGAATTCTGCCCCTCAGCTCCCCCAAATAACTTCTGGAGACTCTCAGCAGCGTGTGTCTCTCTGGGCGCTGCGCTCTCGGGATTCCCCATCCTCAGCGGAGTTCTGCTTGAGGTCCTCTTTCTTCTCTCCTTCCTTATCATGAGACTTTGAGAGTCCATGGCAGACTGGTGTTGAATAGTTACTGCCACACTTCATCTCTGATGACTCCAGGATAAGTGGTTTAGAATTTTCTAGTAAAAACTAAAATAATAATAATAATAATAATAATAATAATAATAATAATAATAATAATGTCTGACCATAGCCCAAGGCTATACTCTTTGCGACCTCAGGCTCACTCACTCAAACGTCTCCCTGATAACCCTTCTTGAGTCTCCATGGTGGATCCAGTCTATTGCAGCTGATTTGAGACTCCTGGGCTCCCTGCTATGCCTGTGCACCCCCACCCCAACCAGGGCTCCAGGGCCATCAGCCAGAAAAGGCCATTAGCCCCGACGGGTCCCCATCAGGTCTATATGGAGTGTATATTTATAAAACTGGATCTGAGATCACCTGACCCCTTATCCATTCCTACCACTCAAATTTCGGCCACCATCATCTGTCCCCAACTATCGTCTACCTAAAAATTTCTTCTCCTTATTGCTTCAGACAAAACATAGCCTCCTCAGCTTAGCTAATACCGCCCCCCACACCCCCACACCACATTTGAAGGTGGGGCTCAGGGAGGCTAATACTGGCTGTAGTCATTTTGCTGGTCTCCTTTTTGAGGAAAACATTGCAGTCTTTCCCCACCGCCCCTTTATTTATTTTTTTTTTCAGCTCTAGGAATGATTCCACCTCCTAAGAATGTTAAGATGAATTCAATTAACTTCAAGAACATTCTACAATGGGAGTCACCCGCTTTCCCCATGGAGAATCTGACGTTCACAGCTCAGTATGAAAGGTAGGGCTGGTGGTTGTTTATGTGAAGGCGTGGGGGACTGTGACCCTAGGCTGGAAGTCGGAGGGAGAGAGTCTAACCGCTTCCACCTGTGTGGCTGTGACAGCCCGGGGCAGTCATTCTGCTGGCCCTTTTCTTTCTCTGAAGGAAAATACTGTAGTCCACACTCTCTGCCCCTCCCACCGACTCCAGGTCTTGCTCTGCTGTCATTCCCAGTTACACAGCCAACAGTGAAAAGTCAGCAGTGTGCAGTGGATGCTGCCTGGAAATCCCAGGTGGACGGAACAATCAGGAAGGCGCTTGCTTTCCGCCACCTACCCTTCACTGCAGGCCTCCTAGAACATTCCAGCATGGGCCTCGACCACTGCAGGCTCCTCTACTTGTCTGTCTGTCAGCAGGTCCCTGCACCTGGTGAAGAGTATGGGCCAGCCTTCCCTAACAGCCCGCCCTTGGTCACTGCCATAGGCTGGATGACAGGTAACACACCAATAGCGCAGGACGCCCAAGGGTCAGCCAGCACAGTGACTCAGAACCGTCAGAGACAGACAGGCCCTTCAGCGAGACAGGAGAGCATTCCGCCCAGAGCTCCGTGGCCCCGCCCTCTTTTCCATGCAGCTGTCATTACACACACACACACACACACACACTAAAGGGTGGCAAAGTTCAAGAAGGAACAGAAAGGAGAATAAAGTGACCCATGCCTACACGCTGGGTTTTTAATGTTTTTCTTAGTTTGAAATAATTTCATACAAACTGAACATTTCAACTTTGGTTGTTTGGTTGGTTGGTTGGTTTTGTTTTTCAAGACAGGGTTTCTCTGTGTAACAGTCCTGGCTGTCCTGAAACTCACCCTGTAGACCAGGCTGACCTCAAACTCACAGAGATCCGCCTGCCTCTGCCTCCATAGTGCTGGGGTTAAAGGTGTGTGCCGCCAACACCACCCAGCACACTTCAGCATTTTAAGTACAGTAGTAAAACGAGAGCACCTACATTGGGATTTATCGGTTTTTAGTATTTGCTATATTTTTCCTCCCTGAACTCTCTGCCCTACTCTATTCCTTTCTTCTCCTGTTGCTCTGACATCTGACAAAGCGACACGAGGTGGGAAAGGTTGTGGGGGCCTTGGTTTGGGGGTACAGCCCATCACCGCGGGGACCGTGCCTGTCCCACACAGACTCTCCAGTCAGGAAGCGGAGAGAAAGCTGCTCCCTCGGAACTGAGTCTGAGGCCTCAGTTCCTGAGAAAGCACTGCTCACACCCAGGCATCCAGGATGTGTCCAACCTTCCTGCAAAATTGAAAAATCACCACCGTGCGCACCTGCGTTTCCGTGTGCACTTCATAAGAACAGGCTGTTCTTTCCCACCGCAGGATGGTTATCTATGGTCCAGAGTCCAGGGATAGACGGAAGGCCTGCGGCGTCTCTAGTGAGGCGGCTTTTCTCATTGCATCTCCCTGGTCTGGAAAGACATAGCAATTTCATTGTGGAAAGTTAGCTTCCTCTTCTATCAGCTGGAGTTGTTGCTGGAATGAAATACCTGAGCTGGGCCACAGGTCTCTAGCTGTTGATGGCCTTGGTGGCAGAGACACAAAGCAGTGCAGCGGGGATGTCACGGGCGAGTGACAGAAAGCATGCAAGCATGTGCTGGTACTGCTTTCTCTTTAATAAAGCCACCAGCACTTAGTCATGTTACACATTTGCCAGCAAAAGTGCTCATCGGTGGCAAAAAGGACAGAGGAGTCACTACAGAATGACCTTAGAAATACGTGTGTCAGCCACCTGATGTATTAGCTGAACAAAATGGCCAAGGAAGAGAGAACTCCTTAATGAAATGACCCCTGGACTTTGCCATTATAGACCGTAAGGTTGGTAGCCATGAGCAGCTGGTCGGTTGGCAAGATGTTTGTGACGTGGGAAAGGCAGGTTGTAGAATACTATGATCTCAGCAGTCCCTACCTACTTTTCCAAAGCTCTGGGTCTCAGTCACGATGCAGTGAGCTGTGATGTACTCCTTAGAACCCTGACATCAACAGAGCATGTGTTAAGGCCCCTTGCTGATCTTGCAGAGGATCGGAGTTCGGCTCCCAGCACCTGAGAGAAACAGCTCGCAAGTACCTGTACCTCCAGCTGCAGGGGATTCAGTGTCCATTTCTGGCCTCCAGGAGTTTACGCACACGCACATACACATAAATAAAAAGAAAATAAACCCTTTTGAAAGGCGTGAAAGTGAGCCGAACACACACACACATGTGTTCTCTGCCCAGATGCCTTGACTTCCCTGTGGTGAGGGACTGAAATCTGCCCCCATGGGCTAGGATAAACTTTCTGCCTTAAACTGATTTTGTCAGAATATTCTATCATAGCTACAGGATAACTAACCAGAACAGACAACGAGGATGGCTGGCCCAATGGGCTCTCACACCTAGACATGCAGGTGTGATGGGAACCAGTCAGACAGCTCTGTGCTTACCGGGAGGGAGCTGGGAGGGAGCTGGGAGGGAGCTCGTGTTTTCTTGGGTGGGGGGCAGCTAATTACACCCCCGGGGCTGATTTCCACTTGCCACCCTCTCGCTGTGGTTGCTGCTGTTGCTGTCATCCTGAGGATGGATGAGTTGTTTTGTAATCTTTCCAGAAACATCGCATTGTGACTCATTCTTGGGACATTATTCGAAGTTATCTAATTATTTACTAATCTATGTGTCGGCCTCTCACAGATCGTAGGCCGGTGCTTTCCAAAATGCACACTCCAGGGAGGAAGCGTTCTCAGTCCCGTGTGCTGAATGCTCAGCCTGGGGGTTGGAGCCATAAATGCTTGTTGGGCTATTGGAACCTCTGTTCCCAAGATGTCTATTTTTGTTTAATTCAATTTCTCCACAGATTTTTTGGCTATAGGATAGACTGTATTGATATGCCTTGTGATTCCTCGGGGATCATTAAGATTTCAGGAAACATGCAGTCTGAGGAATATTAATTTCCTTGTGCATACCATTTATCCAAATTAGTGAATTTTCCAGGCATAGTGGTACACACCTGAAACCCCAGCATTTGGGGTGTTGAGGCAGGAGGATCTTAAGTTAGAGGCCAGCCGGGGAGACTCTCTCTAAAAGCATGAAACAGAACCAAGCAAACAAACAGAGGCGTGCATCTTCCCTTCGCCGTCACCACCCTACATCCGTCTTTGGTGTCGCGGGGAAGAGCGCGAGCATCAGCCCAGAGACCAAACTTTCCTGCTCTTGTCTCTCTGATTGTGTAGTTACCGGTCTTTCCAAGATCAGTGCAAGAACACTGCCTCGACCCAGTGCGACTTCTCACTTCTGTCTAAGTATGGTGACCACACGGTGAGAGTCAGGGCAGAGTCTGCAGAGGAGCACTCTGAGTGGGTCCGAGTCACCTTCTGCCCCATGGATGACAGTAAGCCGTTTGTTCTTTGTTTCGTTAGCCGCAGTCGTTTTTTTCCATGCTTCTGTCCACAGTGGTGGTCCAGCAGTAAGGACTGTTAGCATGCCTCAGAGGGATGCCTTATGCCATACCAGGGAGCTCGGGGTATAGCAAAGAAGCTGCGCCCTCAAAGAATCCACGGGCGAAGCAGGAAAAGAATAGACTTGACTACCTCCCGGGTGTGAATGAGTTAGGGCCAGCACTCCAAAGAGAGGAAACGGAGAGCTGGGACTATTTGCTGGAAGAAAGTCGCTGTGGAATTAGGCGTTAAACCAAGAAATATGAGCCTGGAGAGGTGACTCGGTGGTTAAGAGCACTGGCTGCTCTTCCAGAGAGCTCAGGTTCAAGTCCCAGCACCCACATGTCAGTTCAGAACAGTGTGACATTCCAGCCTCATGGGACCCAACAGCAGTTCTGGCCTCTGGGCACCTAGTACATAGAACATACCTGCAAGCAAGACACCGTACACACGAAATTAAAGTCAAATACAAATTAATTTTTAAAATGTGATAGAAGACAAGCGGTTAGAGGTAGATGCAGGGAGAGAAGGCTCAGTGCAAGGAGCAGTTGCCTGGCGAAGGTGGAAGAACTGGCTGAGGCTGGCTGCTCAGCCGCCGAAGGAACACACCCTGGTCAGAAGTGAGGGCTGTGGGGACGAACGTGTCCAGAGTATCGGGTTTGGAAACCAGTCAAATCACCATACAGCAACTGGGAGAGCAGAGAGGTCAGAGGTCACGGGACGTCAGGAAGAAAGCACACATGAGGCCCTGGCAGGCGCATCAGAGGGAAGAACCGTGTCCCTGGGATTGCCCATAAACACGTTATTACAAGTGGGCTCTGCCACTTCCACAGTGAGAGCCACCCTCAGACAGTGTGAGACTGAAGCCCATTCTCTTCCCACTTCTATCCTAGGACAAGAACAAAACTCTTATCTCTGCAGCTGGAAAGGCTCAGAGTTAATTTTCTTTTCAAAAGAACAAAGGAAACAAATGTTAAAAAAAAAAAAACACAGCTCATTGTCCGCCATGCTCCAAAACTAAACTCTCTTCAGTGCTGTTACGTTCCCGCAAACCCATCATAAACTGAAGATATCAGAAGTCAAACATGCGTTTGACAGGCCTAGTCCGCCACACCCTAGCTCACCGACACAGCACGCAGTGGAAGACTGCTTTTTCTCTCTTGATCCCAGGACTGAAGGGGAGGTGGTGGCTCACAGCCATCTGCCTGCATTGAGAAGGAAATCGAAACACGGGTCCTTAGCTCGAGGGCTACTGCAATCAGAGGCAGAAGTACAGCCCCTGTTTAATGTTGGTTTCGTTCATACCATAAGCCAAACCATTGTACATTGGGGACCATTTGATATACAGGCTTCTGCTCCTGTACGTCTAGCCGGGCCTGGCTGTTTCTAAATCCTACGTTACATCCATCCCATCGAGGCCAGTTCCCTGTAGACACAGATCCAGGAGCATGACCCACGGTCACGCATGTAAAGGTGAGAGAGCAAAGATGCTGACTCAGGCCCCTATGGCTTCTTAGCAGCAGCCCCCCAAAAGTAGCAGCAGTCAAAGAGGAGGACACGGGACATAACTCAGCATGCTTTCCCAGAGTCCTTTGTTATTCCTTCTGTGGTTATTTCTGAGCACCTACTGTGTGCTCAGCATGGTCTTAGTTTTGAAACTACGGCAACAAGCAGGAACAGTGTTGCCCTCGTGGAGTATAATAGGCTCATAGGATGACTGACAGTGACCCAGCACGTGGCTAGTTCAGGACTCGGTGTGCCTTTGATGCTCACAGTGGAAAGGGAGGAAGGGACGCCTCTCTTCCCATAGCGCCGCAATATACCTGCGCCCCAGGAGAGAAGCTTGAATGGCGATCCAGGCGGAGTGACGAGCCTAGCCACATGCACAGCTAGTGACAGAAAAGCTGTCAAATACATATACTTATAGATAATAAATATGAGTAATCTCTACAATAGTAGAAATCTCATTTGTAGCTTTAAGGCCAGAAAACAGAAGAAAATTCAAGCCAGGAGAAGTAAGAAAACAAAGAGAAGAAGCTAATACAATTAGAAATTTAAAATTAGACTTTTTGTCAAGCATGGTGGTCCTGTCTATAGCAACAGAACTGAGAAGGCTTAGGTACACGTTTGAGCTAACACGAGATATGTACAAGGGCAGCCCCCACCCTGCAAAAAAAAAAAGCTATTTTTACAAACAATCTAGTTGAAACAATCCTAAATATGTTAGGTATCACTGTAAGAATGGTGGTCCTGCCTGTAGCAGCAGAACTGAGAAGGCTTGGGCACACGTTTGAGCTAACGTGAGCTATGTACAGGGGCAGCCCCTACTCCGCAAAAAAAAAAAAAAAGCCATTTTTACAAACAATGCAACAATATAATTGAAATAATCCTAAATATAATCCTAAATATATCACTGTGAACACGAATGGATTAAATTTGATTAATAAGGACAAAGGTAATCGAATCTTTTTAAATAGGAAAAAAAAATCCGTCCATCTCCCTTAGCAACCTCACTCGGCGCTGTAACAGTGGCCTGCAGAGACCAGGGTTATCCTCAGTAGCTTGTTGCACACATGTAAAACTGCTGTTCAAGTGAAGTGTTTAAAATGTGATTTGGTTCTGATTGTCATTTTATTGTGTTCTTACACTTAGCCGTCATTGGACCTCCTGAGATGCATATAGAATCTCTTGCTGATTCTCTGCATATGCGTTTCTCAGCCCCCAAAATTGAAAATGAACCTGAGAAGTGGACCATGAAGAACTTGTATAACTCGTGGGCTTATCGAGTGCAATACTGGAAAAACGGGACTAGCGAGAAGGTGAGCTTGGCTGTTGAGCGCGTTTCAGATGTAGGTACCCATGTTCTGCTTGGTTCAGTAGGCCACGATAACAGGAAAAGCCACGCAGAGGCTTGGGTGATGTATCCGTGGGGGAAGGGCTTGCTGTGCAAATGTGACAACCAGAATCTGGATTCCCCAACACCCAAGTGAAAAGCCAGGCATGACGGTGCCCAGCTGTAATCACAGTGCGAGATGGGGACAGGAGAATGCTGGGTACCCACTGGCCTGCTGGCTTAGTCCGCGGGTGAGCCCCAGAATCGGGAAGAGATCCTGTCTCAAAAACAAGGGGAGCAGAGACAGAGGAGGACACCTGATGCCAATCTGGCTCCCATACACACTCGCCTGTGCATGCACGGAGACACGTGACCAAGCTGAGTCTTGCAGAGTGGGCAGCACCTGGTGCCCAGGGAGTCTAAAGCCTGGCCCTTTACAAGCCAAAAGCTCCTGGACTCCCGTCCATCAAGGGACACACATGGGGCAGACTCTCAGGGTGAGCCACACAGCAGACTTCCTCTCCTTGAAAGGAAGTTTCAGGAGACACAGGGCATCGTCAGCATTTGACCAGGGGAAGCTGGAGTCAGCTGCACCCCCGCCGTCCCCCACAAACCACAGTCACTTTATGCTAAGAACACCTCCCGACTGCTGACATGTTTAAGCACAGTGTCATTTTTAACCCTTCCTATCCAGTATTTCCCCGTTGCTCTCTTTAGGACACATTCTTTCCAAAGAAATGTGTTTCTTTATGCTATGGGGCATGCTGCAGTCCCGGAGATCCCGGATCAGGCCTTTATGGCTGGGTCACTTCACAGCTTGGGGGACAGTTCTTTTCAAATGAAGCCCCAAAGTCTGGTTGGAATATTGCTTCTGTCACTGTGTTGCCGGTCACATGACCTCAGCTTCCTCAGCTCTAACAACGGGCACAACAACCAACTTCACTCCCAAAACAGGAAGAAAAGCCCAGTGTGTAGAACGGTTACGGGGTTTGCTGACAAAGGCCAAATGTTTCCCATTATCTGCAAAAGTAGGAGTCTCTCTTCTCTTTTTGCGGACATGTTTATTCATTATTAGTCAGACAGTGCGTCTGCGATAATACCGTTTGTGCTCCTGGACTGACATATGTGCTGTGCAAACGAATTCCAATAAATGTTCATCCGCTTCTTCCCAAGAGCCTGAGAGGCTTAGGATGATATAATTAAACACACACACACACACACACACACACACGAAGAAAATTTAAATTAAATCTTTTAAAAAAGTTTTTAGGTTGTGGTCTTCGGGAGATGACCAGCAGGAGCCCTCGTGAATGCCATTAATGATCTTACAAAAGGGGCCAGGGAGCTGGCCACTGCTCTGACCTCCACCTTGGTCATCAAAGGATGCGTCCTCTCACGTTACCTGGGTAACAGAGGGAGCTAGTCTTCAGGAGACTCGGGCCTGCCACTGTGTCCTGATCTTGGACTCCTCTGATCTAGAATCTTCATTTATAAACTGCCCACTTTATTATAGCGTGGGAGCAGACTACAGCACAGATCCAGTCTGGGGAAGATTTTTTTGGGTGAAAAAAATTAACTTGAGATTTGTGTTTGGCTCTTCAGTGTGTGTGTGTGTGTGTGTGTGTCAGAAGGTCAGAAGACAGTTCATAGGAGTTGGCTCTCTCCTTTACACCTATGTAGGTCCCAGATTGAACTCAGGTCGTCAGGCTTGGTGGCAGACACCTTTACACATTAAGCTATCTCGACAGCCTGGCCTTCCCTTTTAATATGGTGTTTAAGTGGCATCATAAAACACATACATTAAACCACAGGACGTCTGCCTTTGCAAGAGGTGGTTTTGCTCACAGCCAAGACTCCAGGAAGTGAGTGCATGCCTACAAAATATCTCGTTTCATAATCATTAGTCGGTATAATATCTCTGCTAAGCCCAGCAACCCAGAGATAAGACCTTTCATTCACTACTCTCCAGAGATCACCGGTGTATTCTAATGAAGGACCCAGTTCCGTAGTCGCCATGACCGAGTGCCTCCCTCACCAAGCGTGACGCACCAAACCCCTCATATTTGCTTATCTAGAACACGCCCGCAGTGCTGGCGTTTCCATCTTCTAGCGTCACTTTGCTAGTGCCAATGCTAGAAAGTTCACCTGCTCCCTCCTTCCTGCCTCACACCACTGTGTAGCATCCTAAAGTGCCAACCTCCCTCCAATGCTGCAGGGGTGGGGGGGGCAGTTCCCTATACTAACGGCGGGTGGGCGTGAAGGGCTTTTGGAAAGAAGTTCCACTGTCTTGATGGGGAAAAGGGGATGAGAGCAGAATAACCCCGAAATAAAAGGCAAGAGGAAGCCCTGAAGGAGATTTCAGAGGGACCATTCACTTCCCAGTGCCTGCGCTTCAGAAATCGCATGACAGGGGTTAGAGGCACTGAATTATTAGAAGTAAAATCTAGCATTTGTTATGTTTTCTTTTAAGTCTTTCATTGTTGTTGCTGGTGGTGCTTTGTTTATTTGGGGGCGGTGTCTGTCTCTTCTTGGATTCCACAGCTGTAATCTGGTTCCTGCCATCAATACTGACAAGCTGGCAACAGCTCCTCCCCCCCCCCTCTTTTTTGCTGAGGAACTCTTGGTTTCTCAAACTCAGAAGCGTATCGTTAATAATGATGTTCTTGTATTTGAATTCAAATGGCATTAGTCCGGGACTGCAGCCACCAGAAACGGAAGCAGGAGTATCCTGAGGAGAACAAAGACCTGGGTGTCAGAGCCCACCCAGGCCCCGTACAAGGGGAGTCCACACCAAGGATCACATATCTGCTGTGAACCTGGGGGCAGGGTGGGAGCACCCAGAGTCTCACCATGCCTGACTCCTGTTAGCTAGCTAAGTTAGTAGCTTCAACTAACTTATTATTATTAACTTATTATAATGTTATTGTCTAACATTTCTGGAGCCTCAGAGTTGAAGATCAACATGTCTTCAGGGCCTCTCTCCTGAAGATGTGGGATTCGCCCCCTCGTCCTCCCCAGCTCTTGCAGGCTTGCCGGCAATTGTTTGGCTCTCTTTGGCTTCAGGGAGCATCTTCAGGTCTTGGTTGTTTCTGTACATGGCTTTCTCCCTGGATGCCTGCCTATATGACCTGCCCTAATTTCTATCCTTTGAAAAATATCATTTTTAAAGGTTTATTTTAGAGTGTGTATGTGTGCGTGTGTGTGTGGTGTGGTGTGTGTTGGGATTAAAGGCATGCAGCACCATGCCCAGCGATAAGTTTACATTTTAAAGGAGCTACATCCAAATAAGGTCACATTTATAGGTACAAATACATGAAATTTTATGTATGCAGTTCAACTCATATATATATATATATGTATATATATATATATATTCACTGAACGTATTAGTTAGTGAACAGCGCCATGGAAACCCTCATGAGGGCACGGCTCACCACTTGTCCAGTGGACCACGGTTGGGGAATAGTTAACCTACAGCCATCAGGATGAGCTGCTTCTCTGCAATTTATCTGCCTTCAACTCGGCAAAGCTCCACTTGAGATGTGGAACTCGAACTTGGCCCTGCAGAGAGTCTCAGCCACGTGTGTCTGCTGCTGCTGCTGCTGCTGCTGCTGCTGCTGCTGCTGCTGCTGCTGCTGCTGCTTCTGCTGCTGCTGCTGCTGCATGTGTAAAGGCCTGGCCAGAGCAGATCCCAGCCAGTGCGCACCGGGGCATCCCCAAGGCTCCTCAGAGACCTGTCTAGAGCCTGGAGTAGGGATAGCAGGGTATGAAGATCTACAGGAAATTGTCTCCAGGGGCCCTTAGAGCAATGCATACAAGCAGCAGGCTGCGCATGCTCCCAAGGGGGCTGCTACTTGCAGGCGCTGCACACTGGGCCCCCATGAGGAAAGGAACCTTGTTGCCTTAACTGGCTACAGTATTTTTTAAAGGAAGTGTGATGGTTTAGATGCCACATATGTTACAGAACTGAGGCAATGAGATAAAGGTTTTCCGGCCTCACGGTTGGTCTTGTCACATTCTTTAGGATGTCACATGTGTAGGGAGCTGGAAGGAGTTCCAGCCGGTGGCTCCTTCTGAAGCACAGTTTATGAGAGGGAGATAAGAGAGAGATGGTGTCCCTTCACACTGTGTGTGTCTCCTTTATAGTTCCAAATCATTTCTCGGTACGACTCCGAGGTCCTCAGAGGCCTGGAGCCATGGACAACTTACTGCATTCAAGTTCAAGGATTTCTTCTTGATCAAAACAGAACGGGAGAATGGAGCAAACCTATCTGTGAGCAGACAACCAACGATGGTGAGTGTGGACACGTGCAGCCTGTAACTGCCTCCCCAGAGGCACGTAGACCCCACCCATGAGTCCACATCGTGACAGTCAGCTCACATACCACCGCAGGTTAGAGATCAGCCTCCCCATCATCTGCATGGTCCCCAGACCCCGATGGCTCTGCTTCATGCTATAAACGAGATGCCCCATTCTGAGGAAACTGGCTGTCCCTCACCAGCCTGCTGGGCTGAGGTCTGCCTCAATGAATGCCCTTCACTGCATTCCATTGCCCTGTCAGCTCTCTGAAGTAGGTTAACTGGTCCTCATACAGTCACCCAGCAGACTGAGCCCTGCTCATTCAGACACCCAGCAGACTGAGCCCTGCCACAGCTTGTTTTTCCTTCCCCACATCTCTGACTTTGGGGACCTGGAGCACATATCAGCATCTCAGCTAGTACCGTTATATCTTGAGGTCCCTTGTAAAATATGGAGCCAGGGCACAGTGGCATCCAGCAGGGCGCTCTGACACTGTGTATTAACAGAACAATGGTCAGGGGGTTGTTCCGTGATAAAGTATGCTTATCTAGCATGTGTGGCCTGGATTCTGTCCCAGCACAAACGTCCCCCAATACACACATATATGTGCTGGGCAAGGGTGAGGGAGAAAAGGAGGGGAGGGGAGCGGCCAAAGAACTGTCAAGATGCAGTAATCTGGGAGCATGAAAGGCAGACACCTGTAGAGCTGCCGGTGCCATGAAATCTGATGTAAGAGACACACTTTGATCTAAAAATACTTCTTCAAGCCTGGTGTGGTGGCTCAAGCCTGTAATTCCCACAGTTGAGACCTAAGAGTCACCATGAGGCCTTGTTGGACTGTGCAGTGAGCTGCAGGCTGACTGAGGCCACAGAATAAAGTTGTCTCCTGACACGATCCAAACTTTTTTTTTAAAGGAGAAATGCCCAAAGTCACTCTCAGCTAGCGAAGGACAAAGAGAACTGAACAAAAAGGCCCTGTGTAAACACAGCCCTGTTGTGTTCTCTTTACCTCATTGCCTACAGACTAATTCCAAAGGTAAACTGAGGCACCAGATCCTTAAAGTAAGTCCAAGAAACATGATCTGCTGATAATATACTCAAATATGTCTGCAGGCAGGGGAAGAACCAGCCGAGCGCGTGGAGAGGCAGGTTACCCTGCAGTTCACAGCCTTTCGAAGGCACCTCCCACCTCAACCTCTGCACTCTTCCTGAGAAATACACAAATGTCACTGTCAGCCAGGTGTGGCCTTATCTAAAATACCGGGAAACTAGCTGTTATCACCCACCGCCCCACCTGAGAGAGCCTGGAACACTGGCGCACCCTGCCACACTGGGGTGAAAGCTTGCATGGATGATAATAAGGAAAGCCTGAAACTTCCTCAGGAAAGTTTCTGAGATAGGATGACCTCATATTTCCAGATTCCTCCTAGGAACCACTCCAGCCAGCCCTCTGGACCCTCCATTTATCGGGGAAAAAAAACATGGCCAACGAGGCAAAGGGCTGTTCAGCGTGAAACAAGACCCTGGGACTGGGATGTAGTTCTTCCAGTCCGGCAAGGTGTAAGGCGGTAGGACGGTCAGGAGTTGAGTGCGTGTGGACACTAGACCAGAGAGTGAAGGAGGGAGACTGAAGAGGTGACGGTTTCTTCCCAGTCTCTCACCCATAGAAATACTCCATCTGCCCATCTGTCTGTCTCCATCCATCCGTCCTTCTGTCTGTCCATCCATATATCCATCCATGTATTTATTCACGGACATTTAAAGAGCCAGGCCCCATGACAAGTTTGCTCAAATACCAGCAGATGCCTACAGTCAATGGGATACTGGGACCACCATCCTGGTCAGCGTTCTCTGGTCTTCTGTATGTAGGTGACAGTTGGTGTTCTCCGCACAGACAGTCCCTCTCGGGTGTTCTCTCAGTTGCCCTCGGTACCAGATGCGCATGCCCTTGCTCATGAAGGTGATGCTGGCTGGCAAGGGCTGGGTAGAGGGAGGCCAACTGGAGAAGGGACTGGTGTGAGGGCCGGAAGTTGGGACCACAGCTGACCAGGGTGACCTCCTGGACGCTGCCCCATAACCCAGCAGGATTGACTGAAGCAGATGCACTGATTCAGTGACTGCCAACCTCCATCTGTGCAGAGAGGCATCCAAAAGGGAGAAAGTGGAGAGGGGGGAGCCAAGCAGAGGAGCAAAAACATACCAACTGAGTTCGGTGCCATCACCACTCACCATCTGGGTCTGCCCGCTGGCATTTATCAAAACCTACCGATCTCCTGTAGAGACATGCTTCCTGTTGGCATCACAGAAGTGGTTATCCGGGTCACAGCACCCTGAGTATGGTCCAGATAGGCAGAGGAGGTCTCAGGGTGGAAGGCCTTGCTAGAAAACCTCGCTGCAAGTCATCAGAGGCATGTGGCCACTGCTGACAACAGCCCACGCACTGGTCAGGAACTCCAGGAAGAATGAACGGTCCCAGGGACAAGGTGATGGTCACTTGGGTTTGTGTGTGCTCCTCTTGGGGAGCTGTTTTCTGCTCTCACGGGGCCTGTGCCTCCCTGGGGGCCCATGTGCGGTGTCAGAGCAGAATATCCAGCACATAGTTACAAATAGGAAAGTAGACCAGGATCCTTCCTTCTTGTTCTTCTGTGTGACATGCTATAAAGAGGGTTGAGGAAAGAGGTGAAACAACTCGTTGTAAACACCAAGACCCTGCAGCCAGCTGCCATGTTTCTGGGCCATTGTGACCAGATGGACCTGGCTTTGTTTTGTTTTTCTGTTTTTTCAAGATGAGATCTCTTTGTCCTGAAACTTGCTCTGTAGACCAGGCCGGTCTCAAATTCACAGAGATCCACCTGCCTCTGCCTCCCGAGTGCTGGGATTAAAGGCGTGCACCACCACCGCCCAGCCAGATGGGCCTGTTTTGACCACAGTGCTTGGAATGGGTGCGTGATCCCTGTGACTCACCCTGTGTGTGTGTGTGCCAAGAGTCTAACCTGCTCCACTGTCCCCAACAGAAACGACCCCTTCCTGGAAGGTGGCCATCATCCTGGTGGCCTCCGTCGTCGTGGCCTTCCTCTTCCTCCTTGGCTGCTTTTTCTTGCTGTGGTTCATATATAAGAAGGCCAAGCACACCTTCCGTTCTGGGACGTCAATTCCACAGCACCTGAAGGAGGTAGGCAGGATGTGGTGAGGGGCTGCGTCTCTCAGGTCGAGGCTGCCCAGCGCGGGGCAACATGTTCTAAAGAGCATGCTACATGCCCATGTGCTGGCCCATTCCCATGTGCCAAGGCAACAAAGGTTTGTTCCAGAATTCCTTCTGGACCTGGGTTGTTCCTTCTTCACTGCCCAGATCATCGAGTCCTTGGGTTCAAAGGTGATGGTTCTGGCAGGGGAGAGCAGAATTCACTGTGAGATGGGACAGAACAGAATGCTCCAGGCTGAACACTGGTGAAAGGAGAGAGGAGGGAGGGGGACGGGGACTGTGTTTTCATCCGGGAACGTCACCATGATTGATGTCCTGGGGTGTGTGTCATGGAAGGAGGGCTGTTTTTGGAGGTTTAGAGAGGAGGAACAGGAGTGTATGGCTAAAGGCTGTAAGGCTGACTCGTTCTTCTGTGTGTGCTACAGCCAGCCTTCTGTGTGAGTGGCTTCTCCGTATGTTGATTCAAACAAACGCAGACCACATATATTTTTTTTTTAACTGTGTCTATAACTGCTGAGGTCCGCAGCTCAGGAGTAGAGCACTTGGCCCGTGTCCTAAGTAGCCTTATCTGTTGCTCTTATAAACACCATGATCTACAGCAACATGGAGAGGCAAGGGTTTATTTGGCTTACAGATTACAGGCCACCATAGAGGAAAGCCAGAAGCTGAAGCAGTCTGGACGCTGCTTACCAGCTTTCTTCCCCTGGCCTTCTCAGCCTGCTTTCCATATAGCCCAGGCCTATTTGTCTAGGGGTGGCACCACCCACAGTGCTCCGGGCCCTTACATCAATCAGCAATCAAGAAAACACCCCAGAGACACGCCTACAGGCCAATCTGATGGAGGCAGCCCCTCAGTTCAGGTCCCCTCTAGGTATGTCTGGCTTCTTGTCAAGTTTACAAAAGCCAACCAGTGTGGGTAAGGTCCTGAGTTCAATCCCTGGTAGTGTGTGGCACAAATTCTATTTGGTCTTAATAATAAAAACCAGAGTCAGTTATCAGGGTAAATGCTGAAAGAGCAGAGAACAGAGAGGTAAAGAAGGCAGCCATTAGAGAGACCTTTTACCACTACCGAATTCACAGACTAAAGTGGGCAAGATCCTGTCTCCACAAATCCTCAGACTGAATAAATGCCTTACACTCCTGTCTCCTCCCACCTTGTATTCCTCTCTCTGCCCAGTCATATCCCTTCCTGTCTCCACCTCCCTAGTGTCGGGATTAAAGGCATGTGACTCCCAAGTACTAGGATTAAAGGTGTGAGCCATCACTGCCTGGCTCTGTTTCTCTTTGAGACTGGATTAATCCAGTGTAGCCCAAGGTAGCCTTGAACCCACAGAGAACAGTCTGCCTCTGCCTCCTGAGTTCTGGGATTAAAGGTGTGAGCCACCACTGCCTGGCCTCTATGGCTAACTAATAGCTCTGATCTTCAGGCAAGCTTTATTTGTTAGATCACAAACAAAATATCAAATGTATTATTCAGATATCAAAATGAAGCTGTACTGAGTGCATACTTGCAAAAAATAACCAAGAAAACTTTTCATATGGCATTTGCACTATGTTGGGTGGTATAGACAGACGGTCTGGAGGTGATGGCAGAGGTCCCTGACATCCCAGCCCGCTTCCTGCTAGTCCCCTGACCACCAGCATAGCCAGTAAGGTTCTCCAGTGATTCCATGGCAACCCTGGTCTTGGGATTCTTATTTATACACCAAGAGGCTGGTCACATGCCCAGGCTGAAGCCCAACCTGTGGAGGGCTTGTTCCCATGATAGGATGCCCAGAGACTATGTCCCCCTCCCTGGAGAGCAACGTCGGCCTTCCTGCCTACATCTGATCATGAGGATGGGGCTCCTGATGTGGTCACAGTATGAACATAAGTAGAACTGAGACAGGGGGCTGGGAAACTGTACCACCCATGTGTGTGGTTGACTGGCAACCTCTAACCTCATATAAGACAGGACGGGCCTAACAGCCATACAGTAATGTCACTCTGTGTAATAACAGAAGCGCTCTTTTTTTTTTAGTCGTTTTATTCAAGATGGGACAGGGAAATTTGCAATTCCAGGGTACATGTCGTGAATAGAGGAAGGGCGGGGGAGGGGTGGTGGTGTTGGTGATCTGGTATACTTAGGGAAGTAAGGGAAAACATATTTAAGGGTAAACTGAGGCAAAGTTCACTAGTAGTTTTGAAACAACAACCCTTGTCTGAAATGTCAGTAGCAACATTGATGCTGGCTCAATATTTTGAGAAAAGCAACCACAACCACTTGGGTGAATGTCCTTGCAGAGGTGGCCTTTGTCTGAGGTTGTGGTTCAGTGGAGCGTCTTGCCACAGCTGGGGTCATAGGACAGATTGCGTCTTGCCACAGCTGGGGTCATAGGACAGATTGCACAGGAAGCCCCTTCCTATGTGACCTCATGGCCCTGTTTTGTCTGGCTTTGACATAGAGCTGGTGCTGTGCACAGTGGCCACTTTGGGGCTGTGTATTTGCCTAGTCTCCCTCAGTCAGAGACTCCATCTTCACCAGGTCCTCACAGGCCACACTGCGCTGCGGTGCATGGGTCAGCCTGAACTCATAGCTCCACTGTCTGCGTTGCAATTCTCCTCGTGTAGTTGACCGTGAAGTCCATCCGGTGTTTCCCCATTGCACACTTGACAGATCTGCAGGGTCACACATGTGCCAGGCTCGGTTAGCATGTAGTCACTGAGTCACACGCCAGCCTGAGGCCTAAGCAAGACTGCCTGCTCCACAGCTCATCCACGCTGCAGGGCCCTTTTCCAGTCTATGCCCCTCCGAGTGCCAGCAGCCTCGGGATGAACGCAGTGTGCCGTATTCCCACGAGTGGAATCTGCTGGTCAAGCAGCGAGAAGTACTTCCTTCTCAGTATGGCATGGATGATCTGTTGTTGGCCTTCTTTGGTGTGCCTGCTCCCTGAGGCTCCTCAAACTTGTCTGATGCACTAGGTCTCCGGTTCTTCCTAGGGAAGATCCCCCACTCAGTCCAGCTTTAACGATGCCATGGTCACCACCAGTCCCTTAATGTACCGTGACAGCCGGTGTTCCCATACCAAAGATCGGCGTGAATGATTGCAGAGGAGGACACCGGTCTATGCTATGAGTGTTGGTCCCAGAAAGGGACCCAGCGATGAACAGTTCCAGCTGCCAGAATTCCTAGAAGCCAGGGACACTTTGAAAGGGCTCTGGGTACCGCAGGACAGCACCCCCCTCCAAGGCTAGGAAGCAAGACCTGTGGCCATAGCGTTTCTGAGCAGAAGGCGAGCGAGCAAGCCCTGCAGCAACACAGCTGAGAATCTCAGGGGCTGAGCCGGTGTGAACCTAGTTGGAGCAAGAACAAAGAGGGGCAGGCCTTGGTTCTGGGTGGAAGACGTTTTGTTGCCTGAGAACCAGGAAGGAACTAAACTCTTTCCCCCCTTCCCCCCCCCCCCCCCGCAGTGTTTTTGCTGCTTGGCTTCACCATCTAAAAGAAACTGGCCAGACAGGGAGATGGATGGATCAAAGCTAGGCAAGTGCATTCAAGGGGCCAGTCTGACCAAGCTCCCACCTCCAAGGCCGGCAGGCCTCACAGTCGCTGGGAGGGCAGTGGGGGCGTGGAGAGGAGCTAGACAGTGAAGGCAAAGGAACTAACACCCCCACATCGCCGCTGTTCGACTCATGACACACCGTGCATGCTAACTTGGCGTGGTCAGTCAGGGATGCTGACCTGGGGATGCTGGGAGGAGGTCTCAGCCTGGCGCTGCGGAACCCGCGGATGTTCCAGCATTGCAGTATTTTATGAAACACAGGAAATCTTAAAACATCATTTCAATATTCAACCAGTATGTTTTAAGTTTTTAAAATATTTTTACATTTTTTATACAAAATCTTCACTATTACACGTCTAGTTCACGCTCACACATCTCAGTTCAAACCAGGCACCTGTCAAGTGGCCAGTAGCCACACGTGGTCCTCGGCTACTGGACTGGACATTACCAGGTTAAAGGTCAAGATGGAGCGCCAGAGAAGATGCTGGTGAACTTGACCCGAGACACTTGAGATACACCATGAGTCCGTCCATGGCCTGTACACCCCCCACCGTCACCCCATCCCCCCACACACACCCCGCTTCCTAGAGGAAATGGCAGCCAGGCGTGTGTCTTACTGCCTGGAGATCAGGCTAAGAGTGCACCTTGTTTTCCGGAAGAACTATTGGAGAGTGACAGCTGAGCATTCTGTGGACAAGCGCCAGTTCTTGTCCGGCCTCTTCACCATGGTAAAACGCAGGCAGCACCCCTACCTTCACCACACTTCGGAATGTAGTTCAGTGGCATTAAGCCGCCAACGCCGCCAGCGCTACCACGCACCCCCAGAGCCCTCTCCACATGCATGGCAGGAACTCATCCCGCTGAACGGCCCCTGGTGCTCCTTCCTGACAGTCACCATCCTAACATCTTCTGGATCACTCTTGATCCCTCCCGTAACTGCAACCCCACACGCTGGTTATCTGCCTGTCTTTCTCTTTTTAAAGACTGGGCCTCATATAGCCAGGCTGGCCCCAAACTCGTGACGTAGCCAGGAATGACTGAACTTCTGATCCCCCTGCTTCCACCTCCCACATGCTGGGATCAGGACCGTGGACGTGTACCTACCTGCCCAGTTGTCCTCTGCTGGACAATCGTCTGTTAGCTGAGCTACACCTAGTATAGGACAGAGGACAGCTCTCAGGAGCTGGTTCTGGCCTGCCATGGAGGTGGGGGTCACACTCAGGGCACCAGGGGTGCATGGAAAGCACCTTTGCCACTGAAGTACCCGCGCATGGCGTGTTTGCGTCTTTTGTGTGTTCATCCCTGGGTGACGCTTGTCTTTGCTCTGCGGTCCCGGCTGTTCGCAGTTAAGTGAGTCTCTTCAGCCTTCCTTTCCCTTGAGAACATACCTGTGAGTGGAATTGCTAGGTCATGTGATCATGTTTTCAAGGAGCCACCCCCCCCCCCCCCCCCCCTACTGTTGCATTCTAAAGTTGCATCCTCTAGCCCTAAAATTTTGCATACAATCCTTGTCAGCCCAGAGAAAGGAGGAAGAACGGGGATGGGGAGGATTTGGTTCTTAAGTAACGGTCTTTAACTTTTCCGCAGTTTCTGGGCCATCCTCACCACAGCACGTTCCTGCTGTTTTCCCCGCTCTCGGACGAGACCGAGGTGTTCGACAGACTGAGTATCGTCACTGAAGTGTCTAAAGGCAGCAGGCACAATCCCGGAGACAGCTGTGCCCTGAGGACCCTGTGTGAGCCAGGACCTCAAGAGCTGGGATCCTCACGGGCACAGGAGGAGCCCTTGCTGCTCACGTCCACCTCAGAAGTGTGATCAGAAGGGCTGATGGCCAGTAGGGACTGGTGTTGGACTTGTACAGACAACCCAAGAGCCAGGTTTTTAAAGCCCCGATGAGAAAAAATCCTCCATTTGGAAGTTCGCAGCTTTACAAAAGCTAATAGTTTAGCGACTGAGGGTGAAGCTCAGCTGTTGGACTTGTACAGACAACCAAAGAGCCAGGTTTTCAAAGCCCCAGTGAGAAAAATACTCCGTTTGGAAGTTTGCAGCTTTATAAAAACTAATAGTTTAGGGGCTGAGGGTGTAGCTCCGCTGATAGAATGCTTACCCAACATACATAAAGTCCTAGCTTCAATCCCCAACACCATATAAGCTAGGAATAGCGGTGACTGCCTTTAAGCACAACCCTTGGGAGGTAGAGGCAGGAGGGGCAGGAGGGGCAGGAGCTCAGGGCCAAGCTGGACTGGAGACCCTGTCTAAAAAGGAAGAAGAGAGAGAGAGTCTTAAATAATTATTTTTTGAACGACCACTGAATGTAATTTGAGCCCTTTGTGCTCACTGAAGCTAGAACCACATTTAAATTGTGACAAGCAGAAATAAGGGACAAAACTGGAAACACTACCGTAAGAATGTCTGTAGACGGCCCTCATCTCAGAAGTGGTTGGCCCTATGCTGGACAGACATGGATGTTTTGGATTCTCAAGGATCAAAGAGAGTTCCTTCCTACCTGTGTTTTTTGTATATTACTGGTGTTCTATGAATATTCTATATTTGTTTATTTGTGTTTTCTTGCTTTCCGCTGTTGTAACTAAATACCTGACATAAACTATTTAAAAGGAAGAAAGGTGTTTTGTAGTGTCGTGTCATGACATCAGAGGTCTCTGTTCCTGGTCTCTCTGCCCCTTTGTTTTGGGGCTGTATTCCGGTGCATTACACCGCAGGGGAATGTGTGCTAGACCCTGTCCACCTCATGGTAGCCAGGACAAGGAAAGGTGTGGGGAGGGTCAGGGTCCTCCGAAACCTCTTCAGGGCAATCTTCCCATGACCTAACTTCCTCCTTCCAGGCTCTACTTCTTACGATTGCACTACTTCCCAACAGCACCACAAGCTGGCCACCATTGTCCCCACATCTCATTGTTTAGCTACGGGATTGGGGACACTGAAGATCTAAGCCATAGGAGAATTAGGTACCACATTAGTGCAATTGTTAAAATATGCATGGAAGAGGCCCCCTTTGCCCCTGTCCAGACGGCCAGCACTTGTTGACGTTGAGCTCGTAATCTTATTCAGTAGGGATGAATCTCTGTCTAGGATGTCTCCAAAAACAGGAAAGTCCTGGGCTTTATCCACTCAGACATTTCCTAGCCTGTGGCCTCTCTGCTTGACCTGTCTGTGGGGTTGAGAAGACAATGATTAAAGATACAAATGTAGAAAGTGGCTACCACAGGATCAGCACAAATAGTCCCTTGATAGACAGTGTCCATTCATAATCCATGTCATCCAGTAGGTGTGACCAATAACAAACATCCCCCATTCTGTGCCAGACAGACCAATAAAGATGATCCATCAAAGGTCCCCAAAGAGGAGAAGAAACTTTGAATTGTTTGAGACTGGGCTGTGGATGTAGCTCGGTGGCAAGGCCCTTGTCTAGCATGGGCAAGGCCCTGACCACCACCGCCACCCCGTTTCAGTCAGGTCTCTATGGCGGTGCCACCATCAAAAGCAACTTGGAAAGGAAAGGGTTTGTGTGTCTTACAGCTTAACTGTCCCTCATCAGGGGAAGCCGGGGCAGAAAGCTGAGGGCAGGAACTGAAGCAGAGACCATCGAGGAATTGCTGCCTCTTGGCTTGTTTAGTTTGGCTTTTCATAGACAGCACCTCCCCCAGCGAGCTGGGACCTCCCACATCAATCAAGAAAATTCCCCATATGCTTGTCCACAGCCAGTGTGATGGGGGCATTTTATTGACTGGGATTCTCTCAACTCAGATGACTCAGATGACCTGAACCAAGATGACAGAAAGCTCACACACACACACACACACACACACACACACACCATTTTAAAAACAAAAACAGAAAGAGACCATGGTTTATGAGATAAACACTCCTTCGTGACCCCAGTTGTTTCCAGTTCTCAATGGGGACAACCTCACTCTGCTGACCTGCCAGCAATCACTGTGCCTCTTGCTCTCTTCTGAGAAGCCAAAGCTGTGAGGGACTCCACACAAAACCACAATGTTCGACTCTACGGGAATAAGAGCGAGTTTGTTCTGGAGCTAATTATGAGTGGCCAGGGCTCAGAACACAGAGTTGGGGTCTCTCAAATATGTTATTCCAGCATGGGAGTGGTTCTGTAGAGATTTAATGTAACAGAGCAAAGAAAGCTATAAATCAAAACATTTGAGAATGCATAGAGGAAATCTCAGCTATGGGCCGCAGACACTATCTGATACTGTTCCTAGCCCTTCCCTTGGTGGAAGATGGGATTGTGTTAGGACAACGCATTCCAAAGGTTTTATCTGCTCATCAGGACGTCAGGTCTGCACACATGAGGACAGGTATCACCTCGTCAGAACCTCAGGTCTACACACATGTGGACAGGTATCTGCTCGTCAGAACCTCAGGTCTGCACACATGTGGACAGGAGGCTGTCCAAGACTAAAATAACCAGAGAGAAGCTATTATATAAGCTATGATTAGACTTTCCCCCTGGAATGCCCCACAATCGTTCAAGTTTTCATCAGCCTTTGTAGGAGGCCTCCTTTCCAAAACTATATTACTTAAATCGCTGCTTGGCCAACCCCTTGAGTGTATTGCTAGCTAGCTCCTATAGCTATTTCCATTCATCTGTGTATTGCCACGTGGCTGTGACTTATCCGGTAAAGCTCTGTCCAGCGTCTGTCTCTGGTGGGGCTACATGGCTTCTCTTTGACTCTGCCTTCTCTCTCCTCCTCTGTCTACTTGGAACTCCTGCCTTGCCCTATTCTGCTAAGCCACTGGCTGAAACAGTTTCTGAGTGGTTATTTTGTGGTCTAGGCAGCCAGGAATGAACAAGCAGCCTCCTACAACAAGCTACCACTCGGAAGAACCTGGGTTGAAGCTCATCCAGAAAAGCCAATGCTTTTATTAAAGAGTTATTCTACATTCAAACTCACACTTGAACAAACAGAAGGCTGTTTGATTGACTACAATCTGTGAAAGAAAATCCCCTTAGGCATACCACTGCGTGTGACACGGGAATCTATATTACAATTTATATAAGAGACCGGAATTGATAAGGAAAGATAGATTTACTTTCAGCTGGAATTTGGGACAGAAGAAAACTCAATCTATTTCTCTCTTGCCCACAGCATTGTCTCTATTTATAGAAATCATGGGACAAAATTAGAAACACACACATTTGGTTGTGAACTCAAGCAATCAGAACTGGGAGGTGGGCAGTCAAGCTGTCAATCAGAACTGGTAGGTGGGTCATATCTACTGAAGGTGAGGCCCACCTCTGGGTCAGCACACCAAGCATGGACTTCCCACAGAAGTTATAACCCTTAGGACCTGTGAACATGAAAACAGCTCTCACACCTAAAGAACAAAGCTGTTTTATTCTGGAGCTAAGTATGAGTGGCCATGGCTGGAGAGCAGAGACTCAGGCTGCCCCCAGTACCAGGCTTTGACCCAGCAGCAGTTTTGTAATTACAGACCGTAGACACCGACAACTTTCCTTAGCTGATAAGAATGTTTGAAGTTGGTAAGGGGTCTGTTCATGCATTCCAAAGGATTTACCTGACAGTCACAAGGATGCTATACCACACAGAGGTGAGCAAGACTTGACGAAGGTGAGGGCAAATATAGCCCGGCGTAATTTGTCTCTGGACTTGTGCCATTCCATCCTCTTACGCCACTGAAGTTCGAACCAATCGGCCTTTGTAGTCACGACTTCGTCGCAGAAACCTGGGTTCATGGTTCCTCATGCTGGCCAAACGTCCCATTCTATGCAGGTGGGGGACAGATGTTATCTCATTAAACACATACTGCCTCACGTTGCTGGGAAGGCTCTTCCCGAGGATCTCATAAGGATGAGGCCGAGTAAACAGGAAAGCTGTCTTCGGGATGGAGGAACAGCCCGTCGCCTCAACAAGGTCATACCGAACCTGTTACCCATCGTGAACCCGACTTGATGGCTTTGTCCTCTGCACACACTACGACATTTACATGCCACGTGTGATGGGAGTATTGTATTTACCACGAAGACAATCAAGAGCAAGTCTGGCCAAATGAAGTAAACATAGCAAACAAAGGAAGCAGGCAGCCTAAGCGACCCATAATTCAGCACCTGTCACCACACTCCTTACCTGGGTGGGTGATGTATTCTTCCCCTGTGTCTACAGTCATTCGTACAAACTTGATTTACTGTTTGGAATATTTGAAATAATCAATTATCCTTTGTTCTTATGACAAGTTTGGCTCCACAGCTACAATCCCATGAGGAGTGGCTAGCTCTAAATCTAGGAAAGTCTTCCATATCTAAATTATTTATAGGTAACAAAGAACTTGATCTGCCCTGTCATCAAGCTCCACTTTGAGGAAGTAAATGGACAGTCACATATGAGAAGGAACAGAACACAGGTGACATTTTAAATCCCCACCCGACAGACTCACCCTTTCCCCGTGTACCAAATATCACTCATGACGGGTTAAGACAAGAGGCAAAACCTGGGGGACGTCGGACTTCTATCGGTTTTAAGGTTGCAACCAAATCTTACTTCTCATTCACAGTCAGAGAGGGGCGTGGCACTCCAATAGATGCCATTTTTGTGATATTGCCCACCTGTTTCCCAGTGAGAGACCACAGATATTCTTCAGGGTGTTTCCAACGCCAGCTAGCTGTACTACGGAACACCTTGAAAATGCATCTAAGTCGGAAGCACAGGTTCTTAAAAGACTGGGGCTCAAATCACAAATCCTGTGTATTCTTTTCCATAGCTGAGATTTTCTATACAATTTCCACAGCTCATTAGCCCTAGCCTCTGCATTAGAAGTGTTGGCCACAGCCCCGCGGTGACCTCAGACTCCATCTATTAACATTATCTACAGTCCCTGCCGAGCTGAATTACAGGTCCCTACTCACCTCTGAGTCTGGGAACAGTTCGGTATGGTTTGCCTAGTGCTTTCAACCTGTTCCCGTGACACATCTTTCTTCTTTAGAAGAGTTTCCCATCCCTTTCCCTCCTCTTAAAATGGTACACCCTGCAAGTCAGAGCTGTGCAAGTTGAGAAGCTGTGCAGGGAACTTCCAGCATCTCTGCAACGCCACATCCGGGCACGACACCACTCTTTCTCCCTCACAAGGTGCCATAAAGGATCATGTAAGCCATTTCTGCTAAATTATGGCATTGTATACGATTGTGGAGGGAACATTATCAGTCATTATGTCTGTTGAGAGTTTTCCCCTCATAATTCCTCCACAAGTGCCATGGAGAAAATGGGGAAACCATAGTTCCCAGGGCCCACTACATTTAAGGCCATCTCTCTGTTTTGAGAAGAGGGGACATGAGCATTTTGTTTTGCTAAAAAGATCATGTCCTAACAAATGGACAAGAGTGCAACTGACCAGCAGAGAGCTGT